ATGCCACACCGACAGATCATGTTCTTTGGTGGTTTATATGGTTCTGCATCTAAATCCTAGTCTTGTGGCTTTTAAGATGGAATTCAATTGCTCCCCCCACTGCATTTCCGATCCAGTAGCATCCAGGTGCGGTCTGAGTTCTGGTGAGAACTTCTTTGGTGGTGCCTGTTATGCTTGCGTGGTTTCCAAGAGGCTGTCCTTCCTCTCAGAGTATTGCAGAAGTTCTCTTTATTCAGACGTTTTTTCTCTGTATCTGATCTTTTTTTGGTGATAAATTCTGTAAACAAGTACACGTGCTATGTTGTTTCCACTGTGCACCATGCCTAATCAGACAGAATTTCTGAAATAGACATTATTTGTAAATCTGCACAGTTGATGTTTAGTCCAGGATTGATGATGCAGTGACTGCACCTGTGCAGGAGTGGTTCATCAAGGTGTTTTAGCCACAGACAGCTGGGTTATAAGGGCCGTTCCCTTGGAAAATATTCTTTATGCAGTTAGTTCTGAATCAGTCTCTTATTTAGATGAATCCTTTGGATTGAGGCTTTAGTACGTGAATTCCTCCAGTTTAAGAGTTTCATTTTTTCTAAGATGTGTCATTTATCTCTTGCAGCATTTATTTTCCTTCTATGGACTATTTTGGGATTTCTTCTATCTTAGTTTGTCTTTGTCCGTGTGCATCAAGATGAAGGAAGTCTCTTCTCAACAGCTAAAGACACTAGTGAATGTAGGTGTTCAGGAGAGACAAGCGATGTGCCTCTCTCCTTATGTCCAGTTAGGTTTCTTATCATTATTTTCTATGTATTCTGCATTTTTCTACGAGTCATGATCAAGTGTATGATCCAGCTCATTTGTATGTCATACAAAACTTAAATAAAAGTGTGATGCTGAAACCAGTTGTCTTTACGTTCAGTTTTCCAGCTGGATTAATCCAGTGCAGCAGGGCTGGGCCTCCATCACCTTTCCACTGTTGTTTTTCAAGTTTGTCTGCTACAATTTGACCCATCCCATGTTCTTTGTGGCATTCCTACAGACCTGGAGAGAATAGAGTTCAAGACAACTGAATGTACAAATGGACTCTGTTTTGTGGAAACTTTGCTAGCTTTTTCCAACACGTAGATTGCTTTCTTCTTTTTAAATAGCGCTTGTTTCATCGTTCCCTTCTTTTGATACACTACTTGTGAAGAAAGAAAGCCTCTATTGCTAAAACTGCATTGAGTTTGAAGTAGTTAAAGTTATTAAAATATTGTACAAATAGGCACATAGTCAGCATCTTCCCTGGCAAAGTTGGTGTGAGATAACAGCAAAACAAAGAGCAGCCAGTGTTGTAGGGAATTCTGGAAATTACAGAAGGGCAGCAAAACATGAAAAATTAAGAGCTGGAATTCAGCATTCTGTGTCAGATTGTTTTGGTTTTTTTTTTCTGTCTGTGTGAAAAAAGACAAAGATTTTGAAAATAGTATTAAAAATGCTACTTCTGGTGATGCTGGAGGGAAGCGTAGCAGTTGGCTGGGGCGTACTGCATCGTACTGCATACGTGAAGCTGTGCTGTGGTTGTAATGTTTGGTACTGTTTATTTGTGCACTACGTCTTAGAGGCACAGAGTTGCATTGTTGTGGCAGGGAATTTTCTAAACGCTACAGTCCTGTTTAAATCCTTCATAGGGAAAACAGATTTTGAAGAGATTTCTGCACAAAACCTTTCTCCCTGTTACTCTCAGTGCTCCTTTATTTGTACCAGGATTTAGGACTTTTGTATGCAGGTCTTCTGTATGTGGGACCTGATTTTTAGTAACACCGTATTTGCCTTGTCGCAACTCCATTACTTTGGATTTGTTTTACACCTATATGATATCAGAGTTACTCCTACAGCACTTACATTTATGTATCTTCCCCACCTTCCTCTCCCCAGCTCTCTTAACTGATGCTATTTTTTTATGTCCAAACATCCTTTCTCAGCTTTAACCTTCAATGTGCATTGTGTTTTGTGTGTGGGGCTCTTAACTCTGTGGTCTTTTTGCAGTGGAAGAAGCCACTTAATGCTTTCAAAGACATGACCACTCAGTAATGTGCTGAGTAGAGGCAATTGAGCCGGCACCAGAAGACTTACTGAGAAAAGATCTGAGAAATGTGAACTGAGTTTTGCAAACTGCTCAACTATCAAAACCCAGCGTGTCATGGGGACTGTGTAAGGGCCAGTGAATACTCAAAACACGCTTCTGGGACATTACATGCTGTTCTCAGGGGATGTTGGTGCCGTGCTCACACAGAACGCTTTCCACGCTGGCTCCAGCATCGTTTGCAAAGAGAGGAGCTGCTCTGTGAAGACTGCTGCTGCCATTGGCTTCCAGGCAACCACAACTGCAGAGGGCTCAGACGGACAGCTCTTGAGCCTGGTGTGTGACTGTGACTGATGCAGCAGGGCATGCAGTTGTTCTGGAGAAGGAAGACCTCACGATGGTAACAGGCAGGCTGCTGACTGAGGCCTTCGTGTTCAACATTTGTTGAGAAACAGATCTTGAGAATTGTGTTTGGGATAGTCCCACCTCTGTGTTGGCCTGTGATTCTTGACAGTCTTCCTTGTAGCTGCTTAGAAATACTTCTAAGAGAATTACATCCTGGAGTGAGGTGATTCCTTCCAGAACTTGAAATGCAGCATCTTCCTAAGTAAACCCACCGTCTTCAAGGATTTGGTTTCCCAATTGGGATCCTAATTCAAGCACAGAAAGCACTGCTACCAGAATCCTAATTACATTGCAGGACAGAAGGTGCTCGCACATATAACACAGATCTCCAGTTAAGTGCTGCCCTGTGGGTGACTACACTGCTGTCACTCCTTTACTTTCAATTAATAATGAAAACGCCATGATGTTCCTGAAATGGAACGTTCATCACCAATCAAACATCCCCACTCTGGCTCAGAAAGGCAAGAGCCTTGGACAGCTGCTCGCCAATATGGTGTTTCCAGCTGCCCAGTGCTAGGTCCTGCTCACATCAGAGCTGTCTGCTCTCAGTTTCAGCAGCAGTTTGTGCCATTCAAGTGGCTCTGTTGTTGGCCAGCCCCTGGTGTACAAAGGGCACTTTCTAGTGGTTCTTCTGGGGCACCTGCCTTCTACCCAAAGTTTGAGGTGCAAAAAGTGAAAAGCACCCAGAGCTCAGAGCGAGCTTCACAGTGCTGTGCTAGGGCCCAGCCTTCAACAAAAGAATCACAACACACTGAAGAGTCTCTCTGAGGCCGTGGGCTGCCAAAGCTGAGGAGATCAGCTGTGCTGCTGAGGCAACAACTGTAGTCCATGACACTTCTCAACATGAACGTTTCAGTACTTGCAGTGGTTGCTCACAAGAAGAGGGTGCTGTGGCTTTAAAATTACAGTTTCTAAAGCATCATCTCTTTGTGACTGTAGCTACTGTTCCTAAAGATTTTATTTATTTATTTGATTAAAAAGAGCCTTTGGAATTTTAATTTGAACACAGATTGCACTGCCAGCCATAGGGATGCTAGTGGATGTCTGGACACATGGGGCTGGCCTCATGTCTCCCCTGACCACGAGCTCACCTTGTCTTCAAACCTTGTTTTCCAAAGGTGGTCCTCATTTCTTCCCTTTTTCTTATTTACAGACTGGGTGGCTAGAAAGGGAGAAAGGTGTCTTAGGCTGTGGGGTATGCTGCCTTCCCTCTGAGGCTGGTGAGGGCTGGTTTTATAGAAAGAGAGGGATATAGGTATGTGCAGATGCATTTATGTTGTCATGGATCTAACTTAGCCAGTTTTGTAAAGTCATACAAAGTATTTTTAATGATATCTGTACTTTGCATAAAGCTATGAATGATATATGACATGCATTGAGTAATTCAGTAAAATACTTTTCTTCAAGGTTCCTTTTTTTTTTTATCCTCAGTCATGTATTTTTCATACTCTTCAAGCCTTCCACTTCACCACTGCCTTTAGCTTCTCGTTTGGTAAGATTAAAAAAGATTGACCCTGTTCATTACAGGCTGGGCTTTGAAGCCTGATCCTCGTTAATCCAATAGAACAAGCACGGAAGCCACAAAAGCCTGAGCAATAAACACCAGCAGGGGGCTGCCACGTTTGGCTTGTGCCAGTTGGATTTACTGCTGTGTGGTTACAGTTGTTTGGTAGGCAATGGGCAGTAGTCCCAAAGAGTGTTTGTAGGGCAGGTTTTATTGGAACAGCAAAACCAGGAATGGTGTTTGACACTAATATGTAAAATGAAAGTTACCCTCTGAACTCTTAAGCAAGAGCACACATAATGGGACAGCAAATGCTGAGATTTCATGACCATTGGCCACCGACTTAGCATGGAGAAAGCTGTTGTATCCAGGATGTTATCTATGGGAAGGTCCTTTCCAAGAACTTCTGCTTCAGCTGGGAACCTCAGGGTCTGGTTCAGGCTCTGCAGACAGACCAAGGCCATTAGCAGCAGTAAAGATAAGGCAAGGTCTTTAATTGCTTGTTAATTCCCCCCCTCCACCCCCCCAGGCTGCTGTGGCACCCACGCTCAGCATTCAGCAAGGACTTCCTCAAGCTCCAATTAGCTCTATGTGAGTAATGAGAGCTCTTACAGTTCATAATAATGGGCATGAGTAAGTGTTAAGGGCTCTAAGGGCATGGATGTGGTTACATCTCCCTCTCTCGGCTGCCTCCTGCCACTTAGCCCTGAGGCAGGGAAACAACAGTATTTAGAGCTCAGCAATATCTGCTGTTGTTAGCTGTGTGGACTGCGTGCGGTGCTATGGAGGGACTGGGAATGCAATTGGAAATGCAGGACTGTTCCCAGAGCAGATGGCTAGTGGTGGTAATGGGGATGTTATGCATGTATCACAGATGTTTGGATACAGAGAAATAGCTGATCTTGCTTCAAAGGTAAAACTGAGTCAGCAGGATGTGAGTGTGCTACCCCTCTTGTTTTATTGAATAATTAGTGGAAAATAGAAAAGCAACTCTTACAGCACACTCACACATGGGGAGGTCACTGTTGCCATGGTGGTGGGTGCAGTCTCTTCCCTCTCTCCCAGCCCTACAAGCATGCACACATAGCCAATGGAAATCCCCATGTGCCAGGCATTTGTCTTCAAGAGAAAACCGCCTGCTCTGTTCTGAGCGCAACCAGGCTGCATGAAAGTACGTACCATGCCATCAACAGCACAGCCACTGAAGCCCTTCTCTCAAGGGGTTATTCTTTCCTAACAAAATGCAAGAAATTCCCAGGGTAAAGTTTAGAGAAAAAGTTATCAGAGAGGTCTCTGGGGATTTAAAGTGGTAACGTAAGCCGTATTTATTTAAAAATAGATGGAGTAAATTTGGAGTTGGGTTTGCGCAACATACAGACCTCAAGCAACTAACATACAAATCCAGACAGGGAATGTGGCTAACCCCACTCACAATGGCAAGGGCCACTGTAATACAGCCCCTGTGGAGCCCACCCACACTGCACTGCTCAGCCACAAGGTGTTGCCATCCAGCTACAGGCACCCTGCTGCAGGGCTGCTTGTACAGCATGGATTTTCCTCTCTGTGCATTTTGCTGTGCTCCAGCATCCAGCAGGCATCCCGCAGCGCTTCCAACACTGCCTTGACCCCTTCCAACACAAGTCACACTGTCCAGCTTCAGCTCCTCTGCAGGACACTGGTGAGGCGGTGTGCTGGCGGATACAAACAGTTTGATGTGTCCCAGACAGGGCCAGCCATCCTCATGGGCTGCTTGAAATGCTGGAATTCACCAGATGTTTGCTTTGGATGCTGTTGTGTTGTTTTTGGGCAGGGCCTGATGAGTGCTGCTGGAGCAAGCACAGCGCCTTGGACAGCCGTGCCAAGGAAACGGTGCCCGCTGCTGGGAGCTCTGCTTGCTCTGTAAACAAAAAGGGCCACTTGCCCTTATCTGTGGCCCTGTGGAAATGAGGAGAAAGGTGGCTTGGCCCAGGTCCTGGGGAAAGCTGGAGCAGGGCCAGGAGGAGAGCAGCCATTTCCAGGCTCCAGGCATTTGGCTTCCTCTACGTGTTCTTTCCATGGGTCTCCACCGCTGCCTTTGAGCAGCCAAATGAAATGTATAGCACAACATCCTGATGCCTGGAGCAAACCGTAGACTTCACCCAAGGAGGCTGTCTGACAGGACAGAAATAAAACAGAATGATGGATGCCGTAAGTCCAGGATTTGTCCAGCACAGCCAGCCTTTCCCCCACCCCGCCAGCAGTTACCCAAAACCTTCTGGGGCCCCTTGCCTGGCAGATCAATTGTGGGGCAGCTCCTGGGAGCAGCCCGCAGCTTTGAACACTTCGGGGATGTGGCTGTCCAGTTTGGAGATGATTTTGTAAATAGGCTTTTTCCAGGAGGGGTCGGCATCCCTGCCCGCCCGCACCGCTCTGAAGAACTCCTGCAGCGTCAGGCTTGCCACCTCCAGGAAGCAGCTGGGCACCTGCGGACAGATGAGCAGGTGGGCTCCAGGAAGTGGGCCCTGTGCCCCACACCCCGGCCCCTCACCTGGAAGTCGTTTCCCTTATTATAGTGCATGTTGAGGGCACGGAAGAGCTCCGAATCCCGTGAGACGCGCAGGGCCGTGGCCTCCGTGATGCCCTCCAGCAGGGCCTGCCGGGCAAACTTCTCCACTTGGATGTAGTAGAACTCACGGAAGTTGCTGAACCACTTGATGAGCTGGGAGTTGATGCAGCGGCTGAACTGTGCAGACACAGCGGGGGAAGTGGGCTCTCAACAAACCAGCACCAAAATCCCACACCCCGCGATCCTACCCTGCATCCCACAGCAGGTCTACCTGCACGTCAAGGAAGTAGGACCTCAGCAGAGCTGAGCTGGGGTAGCGGGTGAAGAAGAACATCAGCTTGGCCTTCTTCAGGTGGCCAGGGGTCAGCGCCTCCTAGATGTGGGCTTTGAGTCAAGGAAAACCTGCACATGGCAGCTTTGGTCTGTCATAGCCCATGCCTACAGCCTGGTGTCACAGGATGGCCGAGGAGGGTCCTCTGGGTCCTGCTTGAGCAGGGATGCCCGGAGCAGGGTGCCCAGGCCCACATCCAGGTGGCTTTTGGAGATCTCCAAGGAGGAGATTCCACAGCCTCTGGGAAACCTGTGCCCGTACAGTTAAAGCAAATTAACAAGAACGTTATCCAAATGTCCCTTGGATGGTGACAGGTGTGGGTCATCAGTCACCTTTTTCTAGGAAGGTTGTTCCAGTGTTTGATCACTCAGTAGCGGAAAGTTGGCTTTTCCCATCGGCATCTCTGAGGAGCCAGGCCACTCCATCTGCCCCAAAGGATACGTGGGTAGGGGTAAGGGGTGTTCTGTTCCCCTCCACCATGTCAGGGCCCAGGGGCCTCACTGCCAATGGCCGCAGCTTGGTGACTGCCCAGCGTGCATCTGCGGGCTCCATGCGCCAACTCTCTGAGGCAGTAGGGCTGTCCCAGTGGTTGTGTGGGGTGTAGACCAGCAGCTGGCCCAGCAGCTGACTGTCCTGCACTGCCAGGGCAGCTGAGCCTGGCCTGTGACCCACACTGGGTGCCTGACGGAGGTTTCTGACCCCTTCCGGGCTGAAGGATCTGGCCTGAGAGTTCTTCCCCAGTGATAGTGATGGTGCCTCTGGCCGATGTGAGCCCAGGATGCTCGGGGAGGGTGCCTTAGCAAGTGATTTTCTGCCTTTCCCAGCAGGTAAACACCCTCCCCTGGCATCTGGCCCTAGCTCTAGCCGTTGCTGTAGGAGGTGGCTGGCTGCCTTTGGCCACACAGTCTTCAAGACGGAGTCCACCACACGGGATGTCATCCCAGCCAGCTCGTGTTTCAGGGCCTGAGAGAGCACCCTGGCTACTGAGGGCAGGACGCCTGCACTGCCTCTGCCTTCCTCGTCCTCCCCTGCCGTGGGCCCATCCACCTCCAGGATGCTCTCCCAGAGAGTGGCTGTGTGTGAATGGCAGGTGTTGGCAACGCCACCCCTGCCCACACTGTCTCCAGCTTTTCCAGGAAGCAGCTGCACTTTCCCAGCACCTTCCTGGGTTTGGGCAGCATCCCCAGAGTCACAGACCTGGGAGAACCTCTCCTGAAGCCACCTCAGCTGCTGCTCTAGAAAGCAGAGCTGCTCCCTCAGCTGCTGGCACTCTGCTGTGTGGGGACTGCCAGCAGCAGGTGCCCCTTGCCCAGCCACTCCCGCACCCTGCTGCTGAGGAACCCTCGGCTTCCTCTTGCCCCGGTGGGGCACTCCTCCACCTCTCTCCCTGCCCTGCGCCAAACCTCCCTCCAAGCCCTGGTGGGCTGGAAGGAGGCTCATGCCTTGGATGATGCTCTCCACCCTAGCCCTCTTGGCTTGTAGGTATTCATCGGAGAGCTGCTCCCCATCAGCTGCACAGGGCACAGGAGCAGGGCCACAGGTTCTGGTGATAGCCAGGGTTTGTGCTCCTTCTCTGAAAGGCACACCAAGTTCATAGCCCTGGGGCGGCTCCACTGCAGAGGAAGGGAAAAGGGTGCAGGGGTCCAGGCTCCTGCCAACTGCTGCGTGGCTGAGCAGCTGTGACATGAGGGATGAGCTAGGGGAAGGCAACAGAGGGTCCCTCTGGAAACAAGGTTCTGTTTTCATCCCTTGGTGGTGCTTTGTAGTAACACAGCCTCTGTCCTGCGCAGGGGCAGACGTGCCATTCCTCATGTTCTCTTTCTGCCTGGGCACCAGTGAGCTACCCTGCAACTGGTAGGGGATCATTTCCACAGACAGACTGGCAGGCGTTCCTGGCGATGCTTCTGCCAGCTAGAGGTACAGAGCTGAAGAAAGAGTAAAGTATCACTGGTAGAACCAAACACAGCTACCCTCCATGCATGCTCACATGACAGATTTTCCCAGCTCCCACCTGACAGCAGGCATTTGCGGTGCCTAGAGCCCACTTCTAATGGTTTGGGCCTTGAATGTGCCAAGCAGTGAGGGCTCTCTGCACCACAGCTTTGCCCTGGAAGGGTTGAAGATCCATCTCACCGTGCCTTGACCACAACTTCTCCCCCCCCCCGCCCCCCCCACAGGTAACAGGAGCCTCAGGTGTGTGGGGCACAGGCTCAGAGCGATAAGTAGAAAGGGAGATCACCTTTGGCAAGAGTCCCCTTTGAGCTCGTGGACTGTGGTACAAGGGCACTGAGCACCAGATAGAGCCTTCTTCCAGGTGCACCTAGGCAAAGGCGTTTGCAGCTGCCACTGAGCACTGTCAGGGTGCCCGGAAATAAGGACAGCAGCCAGAGCTCTACAGAAGGCATTCACAGCATGGAGCAGAGGGAGCCCTGAGGGCATGAGGATGAGCAGCATCTGCCATCCCCCAATGCTGGGGTGGTTGGAAGAGGCACAGCAAGGGGCTAGAAACAGAAAAAGCACAGTATGATCGCTACTAGCAGGACATGCTGGGACAGTGCTGCTGAGAGCTTGTCAAAACAGAATAAAAGGGATGGGGATTACTGGGGAAGAGAAGAATTCCTGAGCCAGCAGCCTCAGGCTTAAAATTGTCACAGTGAGTGCAGGCAGCCAGCCACCCCTCCTCTTGCTAGTTCTGACACCTTTAAAACAGGAATAGCAAAAGCTCATGTCCTGGTCCGCTAAAGAGTAAAAATCCCTATGGGGTGCTGCCTCACCAACCACATTAATTAGCATCAGCTCTGCATGTCTGAAGTGGTTTATGCGTTTTTGAGCCATCTTTAAAGGGCCTGAGATTCTTTCACCTATATCCAGATACATCTGATCATTTTCAGTGCTGTTAATCTCCTGTCCCCATGACTTTTCTCTACAGCAAGTCCTCCTCCATGTTACTGAGTGGTGTTTAAAAAAAAGCCTCTACTCACTCTTTTCAGCAGGCCGCTTGTTAGCCTTTATTCCAGGTTGGTGTTCGGAAGAGCAATCACACACCACGGCACATCACTCCAGTGCAGGTCCTCGGGCTTGTCTTCCCTGTAAATTGCACTGCCCCACCATTTTGCTAGACCATTTTCCCTCTCCCTCCTCTGTCACACCTTTCTGGATCCTCTACTGCTGCTCTGTCTGTATTAAACCATTTCCCAGGCTGCCTGACAGCACTTGTTCTCTGTGTAGCCTCCCCTCCCTCCCAGCCATGAGGTTTCCATTTCCCCAGCAGTGTGGCTACTTGCTCTGCCCAAGGTCAGCACAGGCCCAGCTGCCGGCAGCTCTTGCTCACCCCATTCACAGCTTGCTTCACCCTCAGCCACACACTGCTCCTCAGAGTAGCAGCTGCCTATGGTGAAGCTACACAGCAAATGCAAGGTACATATATATCTTATTCATTCTTCAGATGTTCCACACAGGGAGCCTCAGCTGGAGGACGGGAGAAAAGCAAGGGGCTTTCCAGCATCAATCTGTATCCAGACTGGCCCTATGTTCTGGCCCAAGTAAATTGCTCCCACTAACAGGGTCCTCTCCCTGCAGTTCGCAGTTGGGTGCTCCCATTCCTGCTGCTGCTACCAGCCTTTACCAGTGCAGTCTTCCAAAATAGTAAAAAGAAACAGATGCTCCTCCAAACTGAAGAAAAAAAACAAGGAGGAAAATGAAGATGCCCAGAGAAGCTGGCAGGTATGTCCTCCCCAGACATCAGCCACACCGCAGAGCTCCCCATCCACTTCTTTCTGGGAGCACCATGTCACCCCACTGGCAGCCTGTCACCCCACAGCTTTCCCAAGGCGTGCCATTTCTGCCACCAGTGAGGAGCCCCAGCCCAAGCCGCGTGCCTTTCTGTGCCCCACTCACCTGGGCTGCCAAGGTGCAGGATGTGTGCTGGGTGCTGCAGGATGATGGAGAAGCCACCCAGCAAGTCCTCCCGCTATGCTCATGTCCTATAAAGAGGGAGTGGGGTGGCTGGAGGCAGCCAACCAGCTGGGAACAACTCCTGAATATGCAGATGGATGTCCAGGGGTCTGGCCACCTGCCTCAGCGTCCCCCAGGCTTACAGAAATGATAACAACGTTGTTGATTCTGTATCTCCCAAAACACTTTCAAAAGGACGAGCATTTGGAGAGGAGACATTGCTTTATTCTGGGCAGGGCATAAGGTGGAATATTCCCACAAATCAAGTGCTCTTTATGCTGGCTTCCATTTATAGTCAAAAGTTTTCACCATATGCCTACCTAATACATAAATGACACCTATCCATTACACATTAATAGGTTTATGTAAGCATAAGGTTCTATAACATATTTGAATCTTCTGTGCTTGTGCAAGGGTCGTCAGTGATTGTCTGGGGAGGCATCCCACTCCTCACTTTATCCGTATTTGGGCACAAGGACATTTAGTCTCTTCTGATTGGTTCCTCTTTTGGACTTGTGTCCTCATCTCAAGGATGCTGTCCCTGTGGGTCTAATTTATGACAGTCTTGAATCTTTGAAGAGAAACATCCCATCTCAGGAAGGCTGTTTATCAGAGATAAGAAAGACATCTGGAACTTAAAGCAGAGCTTCAACCTTGAGCAAAATACCTCAGACAGACAAAAATGTCAAATAATCAGCTTTTGAGACATTACCAGCACTAGGCTGAGCAGACCATCAGTTCCCCATATCCATCATGGCAGAGCACTGAGCAGTGCCTGTCAGGCTCTGCAGCTCAGTTGTGCTGTGGCAGCTGAGAGGCTGAGGCCCATGAGGAGGCAATCCCTGGAGCAGAGAACTCCATCCAGCATCCTCCATGCAACACTGTACGATCACCCCACCAACTAGCACAACCTTGAGAGAGCTGGGAAGCTGCAATTTGATCTGACAGCACCCAGCTAGGACTCAATACAATTAATCATTAATGAGATGACATAAGTACAACAGCCAGAGGCAAGCGGTACCCATGGCCTGGAGCTTCAGGTGAACACAGCTCCTGCTGAAGGTGCGCAGGTGCTTCTGATGTTCCCTACTGTGGTGATGCCAGGGGTCCACAATACAGGAAACAGTTGGGAAGACTTTTCACCATGCGGTGGCTGGACATGGAACAGGCTCCCCAGGGCAGTGGTTGCAGCTCCAAGCTGATGGAGTTCAAAGAGCATTCAGACAATGCTCTCAGGTACAGGGTTTGAATTTTGGGTGGTCCCATATGGAGATAGAAGTTGAACTCAATGATCCTTGTGAGTCCCTTCCAACTTGGGACATTCAGCAAAAGTCAGTACCTTGCTGACTGTTAGGAACTCGAGAGATATTCCTACCACCAGCACAACCCAAACTCTGCTCCAGGATGGAGCTGCTTGACATTTGGTGTGGGAGGCAAAAGCAGATGGAACTCCTGGAGCTAGACAAAACCAAATTGCCTCTGCCATTTCCAGGTTGCCATCTACATCACCTCCACGTACTTAATAAATACTGTGATGCTTGTTTTATTCATTTGGTAGGCAGATGGCTGTGGTTAGAAGCAGTTGACACCAGGCAGTCCTGCTCAAGGGTCTCAGCCCTTTACGGACAAACTGCAGAGAATCCCCTGGCAGAGAGCCTTTCTGGCACAGCTGCTTTGTTTTAAAGCAGTCAGCACATCTTTGAAGCCTCAGAGACAACACCCTATTGATTTTTCTTCAATCTTTTTTGAAAATCTCACCAAGAATGTTCATTGCAAATTTATTTTAGGAGACTATTTTGAAGGTTGCAGTTTACCACTGATGTATTATTAACCAACAGCTATATTAAGGATGTGTATGTAACCTTCAGGATGCTGATTGCCAGACAGAGTTCTGATTTTCCTGGTCTACTTCTCAGAGACTGCAGTAAGTTCTCTGCATTTTATTTCAACAACCATTTCTTGCCTGGAAGTAGGCAGAAAGCAGAAGGTAACTGGGGCACCCTCAGACATTTTCAAAACGTGGACCGTGTCTTAGGAGTGGGACTGGGCACCACTGAAAGAGCCTGGCCCTGTCTTCATTGCATCACATCAGGTCACACTAGACTCTCCGTGACCTGCTGTATTCCTTTCCAATGAAGCCTACTTAAATCCTTTTGCCTGTTTTTGTTTGCTTGTTTCTATGTGCGGTCTGTTGTTTTGTTTTTCCCCACACTTATTTCCCTGTAGCAGTGAGGTGACCTCCTTGCCCATTTCTAATCAAGCTGACGTTTGCAGCAGCTCCGGTCCTAAGCGATCCTGACAGCAGGACGCAGCAAGGTGAGCAGAAAGACCGCTAGAACTGCTTCCCTGCAGAAAGCCACACCCGGATTCCACCAACAGCCAGGAACCGTGCCTGTGCAGACCCAGGTGAACAGCAGCCCCGGTAGCCCAGCCACACTTCAGAGCCGGACACGCACGCACGCGCCCGCCCGCCTCAGACAGCGGCGGACCACGCAGCGGCTCCACAGCCGGCCCGCGAGACAGCACCACCTGCCCCCGCCCCGCAGCCGCCCCGCAGCCCCCCCGACGCCCGCCACGCCCCGCTTCTCCCCCCGCAGGAGCGCTTGGTGCGGCCTTGCGCACTTCCGGCTCTCGCCGGGCCTGCTTCCGGTGTCCGCCCTCCAGCTCCTCCCGCCACCGCCGCGATGCTGCTGCTGTGGCGGTCGCGCTGCTTGGGCCGGGCGCTGGGCCGCTCGGTGCGCACCCTCCGGCAGGTACGGCCCGGCGCGGCCCACCCGCGGGGAGGGCAAGGGGCGGGCTGCCGCGGCACTTGGGGGGGCGGGCTCGGCGGCGCCAAGGACACCGGGACGCGCCCGGCTCGGCCCCGCCGCCGCCGCTCCGGGGCGGGGGCACCGCGGTTGGCGCGGCCGCTGTGTTGAGTCCCGGCGGCGGGGCGGGCTGTCCGTCGTGGCGGAGGCGCCGTGACTGTGAGGGAGCCCTCGGCTCGGCCGCTCCCCTCGGCTCTTCCCTTCTGGCTCTTCCCTTCCTCCCTCCGCGATTCCCTTCTTCTTTGGTGCGGGAATTGCAGGTGGGCTGTTGGCTGTGCCCGGAGTTATGCACGCGGATACACGTGTGTACGGTGCACCGTAAGCGGTTTGTAACTGCGTGTGTATGGTTATGTTCGTAACCGTACTTGTGTATTTGTGGTGACACGTTACTTACCGTGCTTATTTAAGTGGCGTTTTAATAATAGTTATTTTTTTTATCAGCAGTTATGGTGCTGTGTAATTATGCAGAACAGGGAGGAGAGGCAGATGGAGAATACAGACTTTTTCAAAACTGGTTTGCATGGAGAGAGGCCACAGCTAAACAGCAAGTGGGCAGTGAGTTGTGCTTAGCCTACTTGAGGTGGAGAAAAAGTGGTAAGCTGAGAGGTGAAGGAGGTAGTAGCAGCTTGACATCTCTTGGAGTAGGGATGTGGGGAGTAAGTGCTGATGTGGAGATAACATGGGGCTTGGGGGAACTGTAGAAAGGAATGCTGGAGCGTGGCAGGCCTCTGCTGGGAGAAGTGAAAACAAATTCAGAAGTGTCGAGCTGAATGGAAGAACGGTTAAGTCAGCAAAAAACAGCATGCGAAGGGAGGGGACAGCTGGGTTTAATGCTTAGGAAGAAGGAGGGGTCTGTGTTCATACATCAAGTAGAAATCATGCAGGTGCCACTGAGGCTCCTGCCCCGACAAGTCAGATGCGGTGGCAGAAGGGTGACCCAAGGCAGTCCCAGGAGGACCAAGAGGTTCTGAAGAGGGGTGATGTGATGGGCAGCTGTCCTTCATTCACACTTTGGCGGAGAAGTCCTCGTGTTTCTCTGGAGAAGAGTTTATTAAGAACTTCCTCCCTCGCTGATCCCCTCCACATGCTACAAGAGCTGTCAGCCTGTTGTCTTAGTAACTGTATCCCATACCCACTGTGAATTGTTATCTCTCCTATCTTTGCATCTGCCTTGCTGTGCTATATATAATTGTGTTAAAGACGCTCGGTGGGTTTTCTGTGTACAGTGTTGCTTTGCATCCATCCTTGCTAGTAAAGCAGCAGCCACAATGCTTTGCAGAAGCCTTGGCTGGCAAAATGATTGCTGCTGTCAGAGCTGCTCAGCACTAGGGTCTCACTGTGGCTCTGTGCAATGGGCTTCATGCTCCTGTTGAAGTAGGGTCCACCTGCTCCCGACCTGCTCCCTGTTTCCACCACTGCAGAAGAGGTTTGCAGGCATGCAGGCTGTTGTCTTAGCAGACAGACACTATAGTTGATTTATGTGTGTGGTGACCTGCTAGAAGGTGACAGCTCCTTGAAGGTGTAGCCTGAGTTGCCACGTGGTGGGGTCACTTTCACATAACAGCAGCGTGAAAACAATTCTGAGAAGTCATGTGTAACTGGGGGAAAGTTTTAATCACTTGTGTGAGTCAGTAGCAAATTAGAACAAGACTTGCTTCTCCAAAGGAACACTGCTTCTTTACACTGACCCAGGGTGCTAAGAGCAGCTGGTGAAACCTAGTTTTCCTATTTTACCAAAGATCTGACACGTGACACACGTAGCCAGGTGATTTCAGGAACAGGTACAATCACAGCGATTCCCGATCCCTTTTTTCCTCTGAAGGAAATAAGCCCACGGGGCATCTCTCAGAGCTGCATGTGCTGGCACACTGTGGTTAGGGGTGGGTGCACAGCAGTTCTGCAGAGCACAAGGCAGAGAGCATCTCAGTGTCTTTCTCTACAGCTTCTCAGACCGGTAGAGCTCTTCTCTCACTTCTTGCCTAGGGCAAAGCGAAACGATGCCATTTTTTCTTTATTTTGCAGCAACTGTAGCACACAGGCTTGGTCCTCCTGGAAGAGAGCTGCAGATTTGTTTTCTCACAGCCATTTACTTTCGCACAGACCTTTTAAACTTGTTTTTTTTTAACCTTGTGCTAAGACCTTTACACTGGTTCTGTACTTCTTCTTAATGAATTACTGTCTGGGATGCTCAGATTACCTTTACAACTTTATAGAGTACCCAGGAAAACATTGAAGGACAGAGGGGAGCTCATATTCCTTGATATTTTATTTGAGATTAACTTCAGTATTATCCGAGACATT